TATAACTTTATATAATTTACTATTAGATGTTTTTTAAATTTATAAATCTTTTATTGAATTTATTTTAATATATGAAAAACAATCCTTCTTATGTATATTTATATCTCTGTGTATTGTTCATATACAATAATTTTTCATATACTCTCTTTTACATATCTTCTTTTTATAACGTCAAATTTTTTTTATACTACATTTTTCTTTCGTGGTTAAACACTTTTTTAAATAATTTTCTGGCTAAACTTTCTTATTGAAGTACCTTTCAATACGTATAATAAGTTATTAGACAAAGTTTTAAACTTATTTTTATATAAATTAATAAATTATAAGTCCTATTTTATTATGATCAATACGTCTTTGTTACCTTCGTTTAACCTTTTAGTTGTAAATAGAATTTCCAATTTTATTTACAATATTTTATTTATAACTATCTTTTTAATTTCTATAGTATTTGTATTTTTTTCATTTGAAATTTTCTTTGCTTATGTTAAAAAAATTTTAAAAGACGGTTTGATTCTCTTATTCTCATTTGTTTCTTTATACAAGTGAGAAAATAATATAAATATATTACTATTTAATATATATAACTAATATATAACTAGTGAAAGCTATATTTGCTGCTGATAATTTTACTATGCTATATTTCATTCATGTAATTTTACTTTTTATATCATTTATTCGATTATTAAAGATATTGCGTGTGTGTTGTATTCAAGGGTTTCCATTTTGAAGGGGAACATAAACGTTAAAACAGAATTCTACGATAATCAATATGCTATCGGTATATCGTTAAAGGCTTTTTATTACATATACCTGTATACAACGCTAAGGTATTAATAGCTGGTATCGTCAAACTAACCATCGAATATAATAACATTAAACACTTATTGCCGACGCGATTATGAATAGACTTTCTTATTTACATAGATTTTCTTTCTTTTGTATAATATCGTAGATAATAATATCATACATAATATAATAATTATCAATAAAACAATTTTTATCTTGAGAAAAATATTGAAAGTAACAAGATTATAAAGTTGTTTACCAGAAGTTATATAAAAACGTTGTACAAGTACATGTTGTTTATAACTTTATACAAAAGCAATAACAATAAACTTCTATGTAAGATAAAGAACATTTTATCGAAAATTTTAAAAAAGTGATCTCGAAGAATTCCACCTGTATGATTTTACTTTCATCACGTTCCGGACAAATCTCTTTGATTAAAATGATCCCTCTTACGCTGCATTTAGATCAGCAAATAAATACTTGTTCTCTCTCCACTTAAACTAAATCCGTGTTCATTTATTAACATTCGTTTAATTTAATAAACGATACAAACTGTTCAATTGTTCATTCTAAACGCAGTCCTATTCTTTTAATTCTCTCAGTCGTAATGAATTATATATGTATATCTATAGACAGGTATCTTTTCTATTAGCATATAAATATTAAGTTTCAATGACATATTGCTATCTTGGTCCACCAAAAAGTTTTCTCGAAATTTTATTATAAATAATATACATAAATAAATGTATACACCTTATGAATGTAGACCATATAAAATATAATCTGGCTACACTTAACTTCTAATGTGAATGAGTTCGTCATCAGTGAAACTTTTAACACTGAAAACAATCAAACCTGTCAATATAATGGATTTCAGATCTTTTTATAATTGCCTAAAAACAGTATAGTAATTTTTATCAAAATTAATTTCTATTCTGATTTCTATTTAGAGAGAAACATAATTGTATAAATCTATTTATCTCAATTATTGTAATTTTAAATTATAATCATTTATGTACAGATTGTTTACATACGTATTCCTTACCTAAGTTATCCCATAAACAAAGAAATCTCTAATTTACAAAATAGACATAAAAAAAATCGACACTTTTTAGAACGACAGGTCGAAAAAAGCAAGAGAACAAAAACCGTGTTAAAATCTACCGTCTAGTATTAAAATTAAAACATTTTAAGATAACATTCAATTTAGTCGAAGTTTCAGTTTGGTATATATGATATTTTGGATTGCATCCTTATCAAATAATTCTCATAAACAATGGCAATATAATCCAATTTAAGCGTACGACTGTCATTCCAGTTTTTATCCCGAAATTTTCTAAAAGCAGTTTATTCTTTTCTAAAATAAAAGAAATATTTCAGGATTAAGTCATTTATATAAAATTGAAAATAAAATAAAAGATTAAAAGCATATCGTGATCAAATTTATCGCTTAAAACGGAAATGAGGGCTAAAGAATATACGATTTATTTTTCACACATTCATTATACATATGATGATTTCTATTTACAAAAATATAGGAAGTATTTTGTTACACCGCCAATAGAATTTAAAACATCGAATCCGAAACACGTAGACTATCCAGAAATAAAATTTTCATAGATCTTGTGTACCATGAATTCTCAAATTCACGAATAAGAGTTTGTAAAATAGTCGCGGTTGTGGTTGCGATTGTAATCAATATTCCGCACAATTCAAATGATTTTGAAGAATTGCAGTTAACAATATGCATAACTCTACGAAAAAAATAAAAAGAATACATTCACAGCACGAATGAAACAGTGTATATTTTTGAGAGCAGCACTTAATGGTATTTTATAATATATAACGTAGAATAATGTAGAATAATGTTTTTTTTTTTAAATATATTCATATTCTGTGAATATTAAAAACATGGAAACTCTTATGTTATTAAATATAATTATTTCTCTTTGTTGTTTTCGATTAAACTTTGTAGGTATATTCTAAAAAAAAAAAATTCATGTAAGTATACACACCTCAGTCTCGTCTTACACGGTATCTTTTTACACGATTTATAGTAACATTTTTTTATACATTTTATTCATAGTTGTATATTTTATTCATACACGGTCTTTTTTTACATTTTCTTTTCACAGTTATGCGGTCAAACAATACAATTATGTAAAATATAGGCAAGAACATGTATTAGTTAACATAATGTGCGCAAAATAATAATACAGAATGATACTTTAAACGATGATAGTAATGTTGTTTCAATAGCAAAAAAACAAATTGGTTGTATAACGAAAAACGAGAATGAATAAAATGCTGATCCTTTAAAGAATATTAATTATTTTTATTTTCCTCAACACTTATTACAATATTTTTTTCTTGCTTATGTCTATAGAACGTATTAATAAATTATTATATGGTATTATACTATAATATATAATTAGTATTATTTTACAAATAAATTTCTTACTTTAATTCCAAATTATTACAATTTATGATAATTGCTTGCAAATAATTAAAGATCAGTATAAAGCAGAAGTCGAAAATTTAAAGAACTTTTAAATAGATTTTATTTGAAACATGGTAAACATCTTTTTCGAAAAATATTCTTACATTACAAGAATTCTTACATTCTCCGATGAGAACACATAATAAACAAATGTTTTCAAAAATAAAAATTTCATATAGAACAGGACAAATATGAAAATGAAAAGTTTTAGTTTTATTTTTCTGCCGGAGGAACAGATAATTTATTCATTAATATTAGAAAAGTTCTCAATATTTGTAGCAAGTACTGGCACTGAATATTCAATGAATAGTACTTGAATATATAAATCGATTTTTAATTAAATATTCTAAAATAACTTGTTTCCATGGAACTTGTATTATACAGATTCTAAAATATTTGTTCCATAAGAACACTACTCAAAAATCTATTTCTAATCTTTCTATAAAACTTCCACAAGAACATATTTTTTTAAACGAAATAGATAAGTTCGAGCAGAATTTTTTTAAAAACAAAAAGAATCTGTTAATTTCAATGCTTAATATAAATTATCAAGAATCCAATAAACTATCGTATCTAGATTGAAAAATCGTCACACATAGGCACATATATGTAGGTACATGTTAAAAATACCAACACTTGTATTTACTTGCAGAATATACAAGGTGAACCAGCAATTACATCTACCTCAAAGAATATTACGTCTCTTTCCTCAAAAAATATTAACTATTAATAACTTATGTACGTCAAAAAATTATTAATGTGAGAGAGAGAGATCATTTCTGCAAAATCTACCATGCAAAAGAAGGGGAAAGATAGAAGTAGTATTCACAGCACGTCTTTGTTATAAATAAATTTTTTAATATAATAAATATTTTATAATAAAATATCTATTAAAGTAATAATTTTTTGACACACATAAGTATTTTTTTTTTATTTTTTGTAAAGACCATTGACCATTTCATTTTAAAAAGTGGAAATAATCTTGAAATCTTCAAAATCTCTCAACAAAAAAATTATTATTATTATATTGCGGCCTGCACTCAATGACTTTTTAAAAAATTCATTAATGACTTTTAAATAAATTTTTAAAAAATTTGTTCGTATCTCCAAAACCATTGAGGTAGACGTAGTAGTTTGCTCAACTATCACATGAATTATTGTGGGAAAATTTCAAAATTAAAACTGAAGAACAATTTTAAAAAGAAGACATTAACCCTTTGTCTTACGATTTTCTTCTCAGTTTTCAATAAATATTAATTAATATAACATATTACGTCGTGTTAGATATAAAACATTGAAAGCATTATGTATAATTTGTATTTACTAATCTTCAGTTTAATGAATTAAAATTGAAAATTCAAATTTACATTCCATAGGATACTAGAATTTGCTTTTTCTTTCAAACCGAAACCATAATTCTTAATCAATATAACTCATATTGTGACTCAACAATGTGGTTAATGACATTATCCCCGTTCTTTAAAGAAGCTAATTTACTGAATGAAAAATAAGTATATAACAGTAATCAATAGTTGATAATTAATTAATAAGCAAGAAACTAAATACGATTAAGAACTTTGAAAAAATTGTTGAAAATTTGATTCCAATTCACACATTCAGACAATAAATTCGAAATTAGATCGTAATTCAATGTTTGTATATACCGGATGACCGTGAAGTGCCAGGACTAGAAAATGAGGAAAAGAGTAAGATGTACAATAAATGGGATCGTTGCACAAAATACGTGTGCGTAAAAAGATCGAAGTTTCTATGGCGGTTTGTGGCGTTTGCGTGTTATCCCAGGTCACCGAAATTCATGCAGTCACCGCCGATTGAATCCTACAGGGGTTGGTGGACCATCCCGTATTTCTCCTGCAAAAGTCATCGCTGGTTGATTTCGTACAGTGTTAACATACGGCCACTAGATGCTCGTCATGGGTTCGTATTAATCATATCTTAATTCTTAAGGTACATAATATGATTTTTTTGTAAAATTTCATTTCATTAGAAATTCTTCATTTGTCTTGAATTATTCAATTTAACTGAAAATTTTACTATTACCATCCACAGGATGTATCACTTAATTTCACCATCTCGAATTACTTGTAAATTATTTATCATATCACTTCTTTGTGACTAAAGTGACGCTATTCAAAAAATATGTTTCTTAGAAGAAGCGAAAATTTGGTTTTGAACATCATTCGATATTATTTGTTGATTAAAGAAACAACGCAATTCAAAGTAATACACTTCTTATCTATTCCATTTCACAGTGATAATCAAAACAAAATTCATAAGACAGAGTGTCACATGAATCAAGAAGAGCAATATAATTTTTTATCGACTAAATTATGGAGATTAAATAAGAATAGATAATATTTTCATAGTTGATAAAGTATTATCTCTGCAATATTTTTATAATTTTTATAATTTTTATAATATTTTTATAATACTTCGAAAATCACGATTTTGAAATTGTGTCACTTTCATTCGTTGCAAAGAAATGATATGAAAAAGTATAATGTTAAGGAAGTCATGCCTATGCAACTAATTAATTTATATTAATTAATTTTTTATTATTTCTTTAGAATTAAGAAATTGCATTTAAAATACAAAAAAATTGAAGGTAACATTCTTATTTTGAGAAAAGAGAAAAATAACAAATAATTAATTATTATATTGTATGATCTCATTAATATCACATAACTTTTGCTTGAAACATTTTTTCATGTAATAAAAATGAGTTTTGAATGAACTAAGATGGCAGACTTAAGTGACTATTACTAAAGTTAATTCATTAATTATTTAGAATTAAATTTGTAAACTTTAATCTATGTTTTTATCACAAATTAATTAATTTTAAATACACTTCTATATTTAAATTGTAATTTATAATCAACGTTCATTTCTAAAGATTCATTTTAAATGAATATGTATATTACCATCACACGCTAATTGCAAATTGATAATTAACAAAAGCATTACAATATAATGTATGATTCAACGTCCCGAATATTTCATTTAAAATGCTTAATACAATTATTTTCGATCGACAGTTCTTCAAGTCGATCTGAATAAATAAAACAACTACGTCGACAGATGTTAATGAAATTGTGTCTTGTTTAAGGGTTCGAGAATTCTTAAGCGTAGATATCGATATCAGCGGGCTAGAAATAAATCAATGTGACGCATCGTCTTTAAATAATGAGAATGAACTTCTAAGTAATCAAATAGCATCTTTTAAAGGCACGCACAAATGTCATACCGACACAACGCAGGTAATTCTTCTCTACATATCTAATTAGCATTTTTTTAGAATTTTCTACATTTCCTATCATTACCAAGCTTGCTTTCATTCATTATCACGTAATTAAAGATGTTACGGTAGAAATTTTCAAAATGCTTAACCTATTGATACGTTCATAATTTTAATATATACGTTCGTAATTTCAATATAACATACATTTTTATACATATATTATCAAAATGGATGATCTGAACGGCTTTTATGTGTAATATGTCATATGCATATGACACTAGTAAATTCTTACATATACATATATAATATACTAGGGTAATAAAAACAAAAAGTTGTAAAATAACGAAGTAGTAATATAAGATATTTCTATTGATTATGATATTTATCCGAACATAACTCTACTGATTTACTATCTGAAATTAAACTTTATTTCAAAAAGACGATCGAAATAATAAATAAATGAATTAAAAAATAAAAATTAAATTGTAGTATAACGTATAATGAAAAAATAATTCAGCAAACTCTTGGAATTTCTTTTTATAGCCTCAGTATTAAAAAATAAAATTTATTAAAACAATTTTGGTCTTTAATAATAATGAGCTAATATATTACATTACTAAAAGAATCATAGAAGCTACTTTAATCCTCAATAGATTACAGATGATTACAGTAATTAATTTATTTTAGATTATTAAAATTTAGAATTCTTGAAGAGTTTGGTAGAAAAATTCAATTAAATGAAAAATTTCGAAATTAAGTAATTTAATCGTAGATTTTTATTCTCTCTCTCTCTCTCTTTTTCTTCATTGATCTAATGATACTAATCTTCATTAATTCAATGATATTAAGAGATAATTTAAAAGTAATTTAAGTTGCTGAAGTTTAAAGATTTATTTATAACTAACGTGTGATTTTTAGTGTGAACATCAAACTCCAAATAATCGTGTAAATGAAAACGGTGTCGGTGCTGGTTGGGCGAAAGGTGCATATGTATGCAAATGTCGGAAAGGTTATTACAGCAAGAACCAACATCAATCCGCTTTTGATGGAATTCTCGTCGAGGGTTAGTAGATAATTTGAATGCCGCTTCATACAAAATGCATGATTAATAAGACTTTTCGCTTAGCTGAAATGTAAATTTATAGCTGCGTGGAAGGAAATGCAAGAGAACATAAGTGATTCATACGTAACGATGTTTCGCTGTTTGCGTTGTGCACCGGGATGTGCTAAATGTAAGGGACCTGAACCCTGTCTAGCCACCTACAATTGGTCCATCCGGTATGAATGCAATATAAACATTTATTTTTTTCCTTTCCTCTTGTAAGAAAAAAAATTTGTAAAATTATTAATTTATTCTCAAAGGAGTTTCCCTATTTAGAGTTTATATTAGCCGATTTTACATAACTTATTGAAAAAAATTGTCACTTTACGAGGGGCAGTCGAAAAGTAAATTTCACTTCGCTTATAACTATTTGGGTATTAAAGATATTTGGATGAAACGATACTTAATATCTCTACTCTGAAACTGTGTTTTACCGTTGCAATCGCCTGTTATTTGTTATCAATCATTTAACATAGTGTGTATGCTAGAGTCATCAATTATATGATGTTTATGGTCAGAATAAGATATCCAAGCTATTGGAAAATGTAGCATTTCATTCGAAAATTGGCTTACGGACACCCTCTGGACCTGTTATCTCGCGATTTTCACGTTCTTGAATCGATCAAAACAAAGCTTACAAAATGACAGTATCATTCAGACGAAGAAATCGAACATGCGACTCAAGAATGGATATTGCAAGTTGGACGGAATTTTTTTATTGAAAGACTATGTAGAAACATAGCTGATACAGTGAAATAAATAAACAATTAATTTAAAAGAAATAAGTAATTCATTATGTTTAATAGGAATGAAACTTATTTTTTGACTGCCCCTTGTATTATAGAAGTTTGAAATTTTATATATCTATTTGGTATACAAACAAAATGTAATTTTTATATAATTATCTTTGTTATTATTGCATATTTCTCACAATTTTCAATAACTATCACGATTTATATTATTGTATTTATCTGAAGAGCAAAAATTGAAGTGGTTATTTTATAAATTAGAAGCTAAATAAATTTTTTTAACATGACAGTCAACATTTTTTAAAATGACAGTCCCACAAAGCCAAAATTCATTAAATACTTCTTTAAGCGATAAAATAATTATTATCGATATTAACACAGTTCTAGTTTATAAGATATATTTTTATATAGATTAAATTCATTTTTTATTTCTTCCTTTCAGAGTACAACACCAATCATGGTAATTACTAAAAATGATATACTGTAGAAAACAGTTTAAATAATATGCAATTTAAATAAGAATAAAGATAATTGTACAAAAATCGCATTATATTATCTTGAAATATAGATCAATAGATACATGAAATTTTAGAAATATGATCAAATAGATATACGAAATTTCAAAACTTTTAATCTAACAATAGTCGCTTAAAAATAAATTGGCCTCTTGGAAAATGAATTCTTTTAAATACGTAGATTAACCCTCATCTGTCTCCTGTATCAATTTAATACGAAAAATGTATTATTGTATTACATATGAGTATCTTATTTTAAGCTTTGTAACGTCTATTTTTCAAATATAATTTTTACATTTTTGATAAAAAAATATTCTATCAGAATTGCTGATAAAATATATTGGGCGCTGGAAAAATATATAACATAACTGTAACTAGCTAATTTATCAGATCAACAGAGGCATGTACAAAATCGAACGATATGCAAATCGACGCACATTAACCATCTAAAATGATTACATCTACTATTGAAAATTGTGCACATAACATAAGACCAGACAAAGGAAATTAAATATTTTCGCTGAACCGAACGTCATGATTTTTGCAGCACACGTTTTCAAAATACGTACTCAACAGCAGTATATTATCGTATAATTATTATCCATCTTTCCAAAGATGCATATAAATATCTATAGTTTTGAACATATGTTCCTAAAAAAAAAAAAAAATGAACAAGAAGATGCATAGATAGTGTAATAAGTGAGAATTCAAAACAAATGGTAATACTAGACAAAACTAGAGAAGATAATATAAAATCGAACACATATACATGAGAGTAGGATTATTGTGAATCTTATATGTGATTAAATAAAAATTCAATCTATTTATAGTTAATAAAGGAATTTACAAATTTAATTATTCATCTTTTCATTATATCAACCGCGATGTCAATTTGATATCAAGGAACAAGTTAGGTTCAAAAAGTGCGGAGCAGATGCAGGTTAAAATATATTTTCATATTATATAGTTTATTTATTAAAATTATTAAATTTTTGGACAAATTGAATTGCAACTCTGTGAAATATTTATTTGTCAGTTAATAAAATGTCTGTTTTCAGAATCACTCTTCTATCGGTCTCTATTTTCTGTGTATTTGGTACTATTATCCTCGTGGTCTATATGTATCAACAGCGTAAGCTTAAAGTGTTCAAGGTCGCTTCGCCGATATTTTTGTCCATTACGCTTTTGGGTTGTGCTATCATGTATCTCGAAGTACGCACACAATTTTGTAACTGCGTATTAACATAATATTTGTATTTAGTAATTTTAATATTCTTTTGCATATTTAGATGGCTGCAATATTTCCCGTTTTGGACATGTACTCGTGCATTGCCACGAAATGGACGAGACATCTTGGTTTTTGTATTTCTTATACTGCATTGTTAATGAAAACTTGGAGGTAAATAATATAAACTTCGTAATTATTATTATAAACTTATTTATCAAACTTATTGGAATATATAATTAGATGAAACAATAATGTTTCACTTTACGTTTTTAGAAACAGGGCTAATTTCCTTGTTATTTTGTGAATGTTAATTTAATTTTGTACCTTTC